AAAAAAAATTATATTTCAGAAGTTAATCTAATATCAAAAACACGGAAATATTTGGGATTGCCCATGCAGGTCAATGAGGTCAACCCGAAAATTTTCGGGATCAACGTAGGACAGGTTAATGACTATAAATATGTTATCTATTTATTTAAATACAAGAATAAATAAAATAATATTCAATGCATATAAGTAAAAAATTAATTAAAATTGAGTGAAAAAAACATATCTCAATTTAAAAGGTCTAAAGTATGTGACTTTTGAATGTTATTTGATTTTTCAAGTATTTATGCTAACAAAATAACACTATCAAAATAATCAAAAGTATTCTACAGGGTAAACATAGTCTTGACACATTCATTAAAAACAATTATTTGCCTGACATTTCCAATATGGTTTCCATCACAAATAATGCATATTCCTAGTACATTCATTTGTGATATGTTACCTCAGTTGATTAATATTGAAGATTTTTACTGAATAAACTCTCTCCTTTAGTATACCCCAAAAGTAATAAAGGGAATTAAGTTCAGGAGAGCAAGGGACACATTCCATAGTGCCACATCTCCTAATCCAGTTTGGGGAATTTTCACTTTTCAAGGTTCTTACTGCTGTGGCATAATGGGCAGGAGCACCACACTACAGTCGACCCCCCTATAATTACGGTCCCTATAATTACGATTCCTATAAAACTACGAAAAAATATACGTATTTTGGAAATGTTGAGTCGGATTAGTGTAGAATCGATTAATTTTATGGAAGAAAACCTTTCAATCAGCCGTAGTCCGTAAACTTGACACGTGTCGGGCTGTGATTGGAACGACTTGTAAGAAATCGGATTCCTAATAAATTGGAACGTATCTATATCTTATAGGGGGGTCAACTGTATTAGAACCATTTAGGGCATCCTTCATTTCGCTTGTCAAACTGTAGAATTAATTGATTGCATAACGTGGTGAGATATGTTCCTCATTAGCAATATTACTACATACTTACCTATTATAAATATTAATTCATATTTGCGGGTGGATTTGCCTGTGTTCAAGCATGAAATAAGTATGCATACTTGAACACAGGAAAATCCATCCTGCATATAATTCTAATGTCATTTGGATTAAAATTTTAATAAAACTGTAAGAAACTTATTAATAACAAATATAATATAATAATAATAATAATAATAATAATGCTGGCTGGAGCTTCTGCTCCTGATAGGGTCACCCTTATCATTGAGGTTTGTGGAGAGAAATGAAGCCAAGAGTGACTGAACCCACATCTGTGGAGATCTAACCATGGTGATAACACGATCCAGATAAAATACCGACTCAGATATCACCCGAGTTAACAAGGTCCTGTGCTTGTGAGTTAGGCAGAGACTCTCGTTCGAAAAATATGTCAGTCTCCCTTGACCACCACTGGTCCAAGTATGGCTACTGCAATGCCCATACCAGCTGTGGAAAACAAGACTAACTTTGATGTTTCTGAGACAGTGTAGTCACAGACCACTAAGGCAGGTAAACCATGCCAATGGATGAAGTGGACATAGGAACTGAATGAGTTTATTGTCCATACTTACTTCTCCATCACAAAACTTGAAAAAACAGGCATGATAGTATACAGACAACAGTTACATCACTTCTTTTCACAACAATATCCTCATCTCAAAGTCACTGCACAAAGGGTTGTTAATTAAATAAATCAATTATACATAACAACCTTACACCACAAACAACACTAGAACATATCAAACAACAAATTGCAGAACAATTACATCAGCAAACAAATACTCCCAACATCAATGATCACATAATCCATCAGGTTCATCAAGATACATGCATTGACAATACTGTTTCTACCACCACTATTTTCACTGATGATGACAATAACAGTTCTTCACTGTCTGAAATAGATTTAGTTTTAACTCATATTCTCTCTCTTCTTTTCCAGGAAGCACTTACTTCTTTTACATGCATGAACCCTGCACAATGGCCAAGCATTCCTGAAATCAACACTTCTAAACTAGTACGGAAAACTCTACACTATGTGAACATTTACATATTACCAGATTGCACACATTCTATTTCTACACTCTCAGATCTTCACACACTAGCCTATGCAGGTGCAGTCATAGTAGTGACCTACCATGGACTAGAACTGCATCAACAGTCAGAAGAACACAAATCAAAACACTTCAGAAGTCCTGCCTGGCAAAGAAGAATAGAAACATAAATAAATAATATTAAATAGCAATTAGGCTGTCACAATATTCAAACAAAACAACACCTAAATTAATGAAACAACTAAAAAAAACTTTTCAAGAAAATTAAAACACACACAAAGCACAAACACCGCAAAGTTCACATCACAGAATACATTGACACTCAAACAAAAACTTGCAGCCAAAGCACAATAATTCAAATGGCACAAAATTTACTCTGTACAGAAACAACAAAATAAATTACAGTAGAGCATCGATTATTTGGATGATACCTATCAACCGAAACATCAGTTAACCGAAAGCGTTCCAGTCAGCAAATTCAAATTTCTGCTAGTGCTGTGGCACTGCAATATTTGGCTATGTCTTGGGCTACTCCAATATTATTTTTGTTGGTGTGCGTGTTTAGCTGACCTGGCACTGGCATGACCATATTGTATTGTTAAAAATTATTTCTTTATTCTGCACAAACAAAATAAATATATTGAAAAATATAAAAACAAGAAAAATTATATTTTGGAAGTTAATCTAGTATAAAAAATGTTCTGATTCATACACGTCAAGAGGTACTTAAGGACATGCCAGTATTTGAACAAGGCTTTTTTTCCCATCGTGAGCTATATTGTATGACCTTGCAACGTGAGTGGTGTGTTTTGCTTCAGCTTGTTGGAGAATATAGCCCAAGCAGCTGACATCTCCAAATAAACCCAAGAAAAATAAAGAGTTTTGCTTGTTTTGTGTGGTGTTTTTCTGTGCTGAATCGGGATGTTTTTAATATTAGATTAACTTCTGAAACAATTTTTTTTTTTTTTTCGACATATTTATTTTGTTTGTGCAAAATAAAAAAAATAATTTTTAACACTACAATAGACGTGATTATTATTTTAAAAAATTTTCATTAGGCTTAACAAACAATGAAAAACTCTACTACAGACAAATTAATACCAAATCCTCTATTAATTCCCAACACAATGGTATGCCAACTGAAGAGGAACTTGCAAATTATTGGTCTTCTCTTCGGTCTACTGCTGTCAAGTGCAATGCTAATACAGACTGTATAAAAAAAAAAAAGCAATGACATGCAGGACACACCTAGTATGAATTGTATTTAAATAAATACACAAGACATCCATTTAACAATGCAGAAAGCACACAATTGAACAATGCCTGGTGTAGTCAACAGTCACAATTTCTGGTACAAAAAATTCACATCCTGCACCAGGAACAATACAATATATAACTTCTGGTTGCAAGCTCTTAGCACTAACAAACTATTTACAGAGGCATAATCAAATAGCAAATATAATACACCAAGAGTTTGCACACACACACACATTATTAAATCCCAGGTAACATACTATAAACTCTACAGGCAGTTTTAGAAAATGACATATATACTATAACAGAGCCATAATCACTGATAAAACAATTTATCACAATAGACCTGACATCACTTTCATTGACAAATGCAATAAGATCGCAGTTATATAATACACATCTCTGTTCCAAACACTCGTAACATAAAAAATGTTCACACTGAAAAAAAATCAACATGTATACTCCACTCACTCATGAAATAAGGCAACTGTGGAGAATAGATAGGATATTTGTTGTGCCTATTGTTCTCTCTTCCACTGGTGTCATATCCCATACACTATACAAAAGTCTAGAAACGTTAAACCTTAATAAAAACATATACATGACACTAGAGAAAGTCACAACATTCAACACTTGTCACATTGTTAGAAAATTTCTAGGTGTAGACACTTACACTAATAACACAGAAGCTTAATGTTACACTTGTTTGGGTAGCTATGCCTTGACTTTAGTCCAACATAGCACTTGGCATCAATATCAGCTAAACAGGACATTCGCAATACAATAATAGTTATATAATAAAATTATTATTATTCCAATTAATACAATCAAACCTCCAAACAATAACCACTGACAAGAGTAAAAAAAAAGGCCAAGCCAATGCTTTGAGGAAAGGCCATTGTTGGGAGATGAGCTAAAATTGTGCAGGATTTATAAATTAAAGGAAAACTTAATTAATTTTAACATTATAAAGTTATATAAAAAGTTTTTTGTGATGAAATCCTTCTCTAACATGCAGAGAACTAAAATACATATAGATTGGTTATTGTAGGCTATATCTTAAATTTTAAGAAAAAAAGGAACAGTGTCCTCTACCAGCAATAATAATTTAAAAATTTCAAATTCTTAAAAAACTAAAATGTAGTTAGTCCTTAATGTTTTAAAAAACATGATTTAATATTTACAGCTGAGTTTATTAACCAGTAAAAAGCCAGTAATGAAACTAGCTATTTTATCAATAATAACTAATTTTGTACAGTATATTATTTTCTGTATGTCATTTTGAGAGTAGTTGAGATGTAAAAAATATAAGTTTTAGTAGCCAGGGCCATTGTCAAGTTGCTAGGTTATTCTGTATGCATTTTTTTTCAAAAGTAATCCAAAAATTATAAAGAAGAATGATTCTATAATAGGCTACTAAATATAAATGATATCCATTTCTATCAAATTGCATTTGATAAGAAATGATTCAGTAACAATTAATGTCTAAAAATCAAAGTGCAGAAAATTGCAAATTATTGTATCTAAATTATACCAATTAGCATTTTTCAATTTTTAATTCAATAAATTTGATTGTTAAGAAAAAATTCATTTCCAATTAAATTTTTTTTCCAGTTTACACGTTGTTTGCCATCTGCGAATATATTGTCGTAGTATCAAATATGGGTTTTCACATGACTGCTTATTGGGATTTTTCCAATCAGTTCTTAATAATAACTCCAGAGGAAGGTATCAGTATACACAAGGTTAGGTGACGTTCTACGGAGGCAACTGAATCTCAAAATTCAGTTTTTGTTAATATATTTGTTATCCCTGAAGGATCTGGATGTGATTTATTGTGATAAATCATTTTATTAATATTATTGATCAGAATCTGAGAATTCTATTTGTTATAAGTTAGTTTTTATTAAATATGAAAATTTTTTAAAGCAGAAACATGTGATATATAATGTTCCAGTTTGTTAGTTATGGATATGAAAAATAGTAACATATAAGATTNAGGTAATAGCGATTTATCAGGGAACCTGATATTTAGCACTAATGAATACTTTGTTACAAAATTATATTTCAACTTAACTTGTTCAAAACTAAATCAAAATGTTAATTGTTACAGATATAACATTGCAAGATAAATAGCTCTGAACTTGTTTGTCAGTAAATGCAACAAATTGCTTATGAGTTAAGAATATAAAATTAATAAATAAATCACTTAAATAATGTCTAAAATTAAACTGCTGAAAAATGTTATTATATAAGCTCATTCAAAAGTGCAGGAATTACCTTCGACTTGCAGCACAGATACTACTTGCAGTTTCCAAATTCTTTTGTAATTCTGTTACACGCTGTAATTCTAAAGTATATGCAGACTGATTTTGTAAAATGAGATCCAGGACTTTCTTTGATACCTTCAAATTATAATGTTTTATTTAAACAAAACTGTAAATATCATTTTGATTAAAAACATATCATTCTTTAGTAAAATTAGTTTAGAAATACAGTGGAACCTCATTATACGACCTTAATCCGTTCCTGGTGTTTGGACTTATATCGAATAGGACGTATACCAAACCAACCTTTCCCATAAGAAGTAATGTAAAAATGATTAATCCGTTCTCATGTAGAAAAAATGGCTGGCTTTAAACACCTCGCTTTCCTGGCTAGTTCCTGCTTGATTTTTCATGAGATCAGCATGTATCTTTTTAGCTTTCCCGCAAATAATTGTTTCTGATACGCTGTTGCCAGCACACTGTTTTTCAGTTAGCCAAAGCAAAAGCAATTTCTCAACATGATCTAATGTCTTCGATCTCTGTTTAGAAATTGATTTAACCCCTTTCGCAATGTTCACAAATTTAATAATGTCTTTATTTTTTACGATTGTCGACATCATCGTTCTCGGAATACGGTATGCAACAGTTAAATCTCGAACACGCACTCCACCTTCATATTTCTCAACAATCTCTTTTTTCAGTTCCATTGTGATTCTAGTCTTTTTTTTATTTTTCTGTTGCCTTTTTGCAATTCATGATTAATAAAAATAATAAAATTTTACTTACAAATTAAAATCAGAAGAAATTTAACAAAGTTATAAACTGTGGTACCGCGAACGTCTAGTCTGGTCTGGTCTAATACATCGATAGTGCTACTTGCTCATAGATGGCGCGTATAATTGAATTAAGTCTTATACCAAGCAAAATTTGTTTCATCCAAACAGGACGTATTCTGAATTGGATGTATTCTAAAGCAGACGTATACCGAGATACCACTGTATACAAAAACATGAATAAATTAATCATATTATATTTAAAAGTTTTTGTATTATTTACTTCATTTAATTTATTGAAAAATATAGAAATCATTAACTGCGATTAATAGAATAGTCATAGAAACATATTTACCACATAAATCTTGTATCACTTATATGTATATACATTAAACACTCATAAACTAAAACTACATAATGCATTTGAAAACACTCATTATTTGTACAATTTATTGATTTGCTAGATTGAAAGGTTGTTGATCACTGTATATAGATCAGTGGTGCACAAACTGTGATCACAACCCCCAGAGGGGGTCACATGAAAATTTTTCGGGGTTACCAAATTTTTCATTACATAAATATTTACTCTCATATACATAAATAAAACCATAGTTTCATAAAATTATGTGTTTTATTCAGACCTCTAATAAGGCAGAAACATAAACACAAATCCCAGAATTTCACTTTTAATTATGTTGATGATTAAAAAAAGTCTACTGTCTATCCAGTGGTTGCAACAAAATTTTACACAAAATGGGGGTCAGAAATGAAAATAGTTTGTATACCACTGTTATAGATGACCTGTTTATTAGACTTCTACAGTTTCCAAACTAAGTAATATGATTTCTTACACATAATCTGAATTATGTTTTTAAAAGGCAATTTGAAAGTGAATGAGTTAGATGCAATGGGGGAGGTTATATGACAAATTTAAATTGCAATTAAACTGATCAAATAGCTTTGATTTAATTTAGGAAATGTATAAATCCTTTACACTCCCCAAACATTTTTTTGCCACCAATTTTCTCAAAACCATCAAAGATAGGTTTTAAGAGAAATTGCAATTTCAGCATATATCCCAGATATGGGGAAAAGGATTAATTAAGTGATTTCACACAGTACTCCAAACTATTTTCAGCAGTTATTCCATAAATATTAATGCATTTAAGGAGTATGCTATCACTACAGCAAGGCTGTATTGATAGCATACTACTCCATGGTTTTACATCTCTTTAGTAAACAAGATTGTTGTTCATGAACCTAAAGTTATCCAGTCAGTCACACTTTTAATTGGGCAAAGAAGCACAAGAAGCATAGAATAGAGAACAAAATAATTCTATGATTACACAGAAGTTCAGTTGATGTTATAATGAAAAATGTTATTCCCAGCTTCTAATTTCATCATATTCTTATGTTTCTAGCTGAAGGAAACTACCAAAGAAAAAACAAAGAAATTTTCATCAGAGGTACTGCAACTTCTTTCTGAACCGGAAGCATCATATGTTGAAAAAAGTGATAATGCAGGCCTACTAAACATAATAAAATGAGTCAAAATTAAAAATTCAATCTTAATATAACTCAGGCTATAATTATTTATTTATTTGTAACACTAATGAAGTTATTTCAATAAAAATATGTTTGTACTCAGTTACAAGTGTGCCTTTCTGTTTACTAACATCATGGTTTTTAACAAACTCAACCTTTGCAAACTTTACACTGAAGATTTGTATATCAAACAATTCATATTTGTAATAAATATATGTGAATGTCAACAAGTTGTTCAAAATATTTTACTTCCCTCCACTGAAATTCAGTTATACACATGCACACATGTAAAACTATATATATAAGATATATATAGTTATATATGTGATATATAACTATAGATATATATATAAGCTATTTCTAAAATAATGAAGCAAACTTTAAAGAATGATCCTTCACAAAAATAAAAAAAAACAAAAGAAAGGCATATAAACATATGTCCTGAAATAGGCAAGTTTCAAACTTCTTACCACAGTGTCAGATGCAATAATTTTATTACATACTTTTTTAGTAACTCTTTTACATAGGAATACCCTTTACACTCTTTTACATCATCTTTTCTGAAGAAATATTCAAACTACTCTCCACATGTACCTATGCATGCTTAGAAATGTTGGAGAATGAATTGATCTAACACTATTTTGAAGGTTCTAGATCTCCTGCAAACAGTGGTGCAGACATTGACAATACATTGAAACAGTATGTCCACATTGTCAATGAGAGCAGTATACACTAGCATCTTCAGATAGTCCCATAGATAAAAATCCAAAGGATTCAGATCAAAGAATATGTAGACCATGCCACTGGACCAGTTTTGCCTATCCATCAGTGCTGATAGGTATGGATTAGTGCATTACTTTAGTCAAATGTTATGTAAGAGTTATGTAAATCTGTCTTGAAGGTAACACTGTTATAAGAAGTTTGTTTTCTCAAAGTCTTAAAAATCTTCATTCTTGGACATATGTTTATAAGCCTTTCTTTATTTTTCTGTAAAGAATCATCCACCAATGTTTCTGAAATAGTGGAACAAACTTTGAAGATGACTCCTCACAGGAAAATAAAGAATAAAGACTTATAAACATATGTCCAAGAAATTAAAATTTTCAAGAATTTTGAGAAATCAAACTTCTTATACAATGTAAGGTTCAAGACAGATTTTCTTACCTAACTAAAGTGTGATATATATATGGGATACCATAAATAAAAGTATTCAATTATGTTAATTATTAAAATCATTATCTATATATCTATATCTGCATATGAATCAGCAACATATTTGTTGTATGCACTGTATAATTAATGAAGTAGCTTTACAATGCATACTAATAAAAATAAAAAAATAAATCACTACTAATATTTAATCATACATTTAGGAATAGTCAGTTAAATGCCATAAGTTTTGACAATAAATTATTAACCACTGTGAATTTGTCAACTGCTGAACTCACTGTTTTCAAAATGGGGACCACATTAAGTATGTGGGTAAAATGTTTTATTTTTAAAAGACAGAATGAGTGTCTTTTAAAAATAAAACATTTGTTGCTTGCAATACCTAATGGTAAATTTTAGTACTAATTGCTTTTCACAGAAATGTCTTTTGCATGTCCTGAAATGCCACCCTATCATATTTGGTTTCATTTGGACTGCCAAATCTCTCCAAACAGTACTGAATAAGGATATTTTAATTATGATCACATCATTTAGTATATAAACTTTATTTTAACAGTTGTTATATTATTATTTATTCAAAAAATTAAATAAAAAATAATAATTTTAAGTGTCTAAATTTAAGCTTAGTTCATACAGAAAGAAATCACTGGCAAAAAATGGGAAGCAAAACAAATACTGCATTGGCAGTGATGTCCTTTCAAACAAACTTATGCAATTGCATTTTAACATGCTGAAATTTTCTATTAGCAAAAGGCATTCTCCACTAATTGAAATGACAAATTTTTGGAGGTAGAAAGGAGATTTAAACACAGCTACAAAACATATACTTTCTAAATTATATTCTTTTAATTATTATAATTAATTTTGAAATTTTCTTTTTGATAAAAAAAAAAAAAATGGATGAAACTAGCATAAACAATTTGCTATTATAACCTGTCGTATCATTTTAACAATGTTTGTTGTTGTGGGTTCCTTTGACTTTTTTATTCCTAAGGGCATGGTCTAGAGCAGTGTTTTTCAACCTTCTTGAATACACGACCCCTTTACAAGTTAAAAAATTCTGGCGACCCCCCTTAGGGCCATATTAAAACTATATCAGTGATTTTAAAAACTATGTATTTAATTTTCTCTCTGTTGAGACAAATTATTGTTGATTAAAGTGAAAATTTCAGAAGAATCGACAATAACTTAACACACATAAAGTATGAATCTTCCTTTAATTATAACATTCGGCACAGGAAGATGTTGACCTTTTTTTTTTTGTTTAGGATCAGAATTTTCAGCTTCTACGTTTCTACTTCTTATTTCTTTTTGCAGATCAGCTCAACACTTTTTCCGCTATCATTTTCTGGGGTGGGCCATAATTCTCACTGAAATTGTAGTTTTTTTAATGTAGTGTAGGACCTACAAACACTTGTCTTTTTCTTTTACCTGCGACCCCCCATGTAAGGCTGTAAGTGTTTTTCAACCTGTGGGTCGCGACCCCCAAGAGCGTCGCGACCCACAGGTTGAAAAACACTGGTCTAGAGCTCTTATAAGGTCTCATATGACTCATTCAGAGTTGTAATTGTACCCTGTTGTTCACATATGATTGCTCATTTTCTATTCTCATTTTGTGAAATGGCAGTGAGAATCAAATTTATTATGTAAAAATAAATCAGTTAGACATTTACTAGTGAAAGTAAAAGCAAAAGCAGAATGTTATCTAAACTATGCATAAAGTTCTCCACAGTAAATAAGAGTTAAGCAATCTACTCTCAAATTTGGGTCATTGGATATTAGCCATACTAGGTATCTAGTTAATTAAAACTAAAAATAATAATTAAAACTTTGACCTTTACACCAAAACCAAAATTAAAAATAAAATAAAATCAATTGAAATGTATTTTGGAAAGTATGGATAAAGTACTTGTTATCCATCTTGATTGATTTGGTTATATTTCATCCAGACAATCAGAGTTAAGTCTCTATTTATAGCACTTCTTTGTAAAGTATTACTTTCGGTTTTGGCAATAATGAAACATTTTGCTTTTAATATATATTATTTTCCTTTTAATATTTTTTGAGTTAATAATAGAGTAAATGTTAAATAATTATATATTATTATATTTATTTTATAGTGAAAATGTTTACCTGTTATCCACAGAAGGCAATGTCTGATTAATCAAAGTAAAAATACAACAATTGTCCTATTATTATGCTAGGACCAGATGTTTCATTCACTCAAATATATATGTCCTCTAAACCAATGTCTGATAAACTCAAGATTATTTATTTGATATATTAAAAATTTTTGAACAAATATTCTTCCAAAACAATTTTTTCTTAAAGTATAAGATGAACTTTGAAAACCAACAGAAAATGATCAAAACTAGTCAGTCAATAAAAACCAGAACTAATTAATGTGTAATTATTAATGTTTAATTAGTTCAGAAATATGATGAATTGAAATTAAAATATTTTAAATTGTAACTAATCTGACCAACTAATATATTACTGGAAAAATCTAGAAAATTGTACTCTCTATTTAAGCAATAAATATGAGTTGTAAGAATGTCTATTATTTGCTTATTTTTGAGTTTTAGAAGTATTTAATTTCTAATAATGATATAATAATGATGTATTACTTTCAATGATTTATTTAAAAAAAAGTCATACAATATAACAATAATCTTTCATATTTGTAAATGNAGTATAAAAGATGTAGTTTCTTCTTTAAAGATGTGGAGATTGTATTAATTTTAAAGAAGAAAAACACCTCGCTTTCTGCTGATATATATAGATCAAAAGCATTTGTGATGAAAACTAATGTGATTTGCTGGATTAAATGAAATGTTAAAAATATTCAAGATAAAATAGAGAAAGAAGATTAATTATAATTTATACGAATAGTTATTAAAACAAAACCAACAATTTATTATCTGATTTTTATTTATTATATTATAATTTCTTTGTTTTTGATTAATACATAAATTCCTATAAATATCAATCCTTAACAGAATATGCCAATTAAAATGAAATTTGCATCTTATGTTGAAATTAACAACACCTAACTCAATAACATAAAAACCAGCAAAATTTTCACTCATTGTAATTGGATGAGAATGTTTGCTTGATACTTGTTCACTTGACACTTGAAAATGTTTGCTTGACAAGTGTCAAACATTTTCATCCAATTTCAATGGACATTTTTGGGCTAAAAACCTAAACATGAAAGTGGATGAAAATGTTTACTTGACAAGTGAGTAACAATTTTGCTGATTTTTATGTTATTAAGTTAGGTGTTCTTAGTATATTAACTAGCATTTAGCAGTTGTCCATTATTTTGAATTATTTCAAAATCCAATTTAAGCCTTTTTTTCATCTATTTTAAAATCAATTTTCTCCTTATAAATATTCATTATACAATTAAAAAATATATCTTTTCAAGATATCACATTTTCATTCCATCATTTAGAATGATTATTAATTAAACATATACAAAATACAGAAAGAATTTGTACTACTAATGCTTGAACATAACTATTATAAAAATCATTATCAGAGAGCATGAAATATTAAATGGATATCCATTTCCTAATATATTAATGTTAAAATTTTTAAATATGAAAGTAATTCAAAGTTCATAAATTTATATAAATTGTTGAGTTGTTAGTACTAATATCAATTTATCTGTTTAAATAATATATCATAGAAACTTCTAAATTATTATAAAATAGTCTAATATAAAATGTTTAAAACTTAATTCTAATTGTAATAATTATTAAATTTTTAATATTATAAATATTTTAACTTAATAAATTCACTAATCATCATAATGTTAAGTTGTAACAATATCTATATACCTTTTTAACTATAGTCTGCTGTGAAGATAAATCTTTTGTCGAAATTCCTTCTGTAATTGCTGGAGGAAATTGCGTACCCTAAAATAACAAAAGAATTTCATTACAAAGAAACAAATTCATCATTTTTTTATAGAAACAAGAAATGCATTTAAATTATTTTCTTAATTTTTCTTTATATTATTAATTACTAGCAGACCCTGCCACATGTTGTTGTGGCTCAAAATGTATCTATTATAAATGTATAACACTTCCCCCGTGGGGGAAACTTTTTCGAAAAATAAAAATACTTAATACTTAAAAAATACTTATGTACACTTAAGTTGAAACATATAAAATGTATTCCAAAAGTTTTAAGAATGAGCAAGCATTTTTGATATTTTTAACTTTACACCTTTTTATAATTTACATGTAATAAACTTTCATGCAATTATGTGATGATAGTATATTATGATAATACAAGCTTTTGAAGTGAAAGTTCTATAAAAATCAGATTATTATAAGTGGCATAAATGATTTAAAACTGAACAAATTGCTATAATCAATGATCAATGTAGTGGATGACCTGAAACCACAAGAAATGTAAAAGCACAGAAAATTTGCTATTCTTTCTTGTGGATATTCTAAGTAGAAAATATATTAATTAAAAAAATTAATTTTATGCAAAGTAATTGGCATAATTATCATCATATAAAATTTTGTCTACTATTAATAGATGTGTACAGATATATCAATTCCTATAAATATCAATCCTTTACAGAATACTCCAATTAAAATAAAATTTGCATCATATCTTGAAACTGTGTTTAATATGAAATATCATATTTTAAAAATTTTTTTAACTGATCAAAGACTTACTCTAATGAAGATATAAAAATTACTAAAATACAATAATTAAAATGTATTTTACTCAAATAAAAACCAAAAAGTAATTTACACTTATATTTTATTTTGTTATTTTTAAAATACCTGAAGTATTGATATTTAAGATGCAATAAAAAAATATTAATATTGGTTATATTTAATGGCAAATTTCAATACAGTAGACCCCCTGTAACATGGGTTCATATAGTTCGGATTCCTATATCACGGCGAAAAAATTGTGACAGTATTTATACAAACACGCTAAAAAAACTCGTATAATTCGGTAAAACATCATCGCCGACTTGTGTCACGACAGGATTGGTCGAATCTAGACCAATAGTGGATATGTACAAACCGTTTAGTTTAAACGAGCGGACCTACTAAAAACCATTTATTATTTAACGGCCATAAAAATTATATTTATATTAATGATGTCTCCAAAGTTCAGCAAATTTTTCGCAAAAGAAATAATTTATCAGGAAGCATGCAAGCGCCATTCGATGACAAGCTCCACGACAAAAACAAGCTTAAGCAATGGCATCGTCAAACGGTGCACACTCGGTAAGTAATCCTACAATTTTTTGTTTATAGCATAGTTTATATGGATTATTCCCAAAAAATTATATGTATTTTGGAAATGTTGAGTCGAATTAGTCTAGAATCGATTAATTTTATGGAAGAAAACCTTTCAAACAGCCGTAGTCTGTAAACTGCATATGTGCCAGGCTGTGATTGGCTCATGTATTTAAGGACTCGTAGAAAATGGATTCATAAAAACCTGAACATATCTACCGTGTTATGGGGAAGTCGACTGTATATTATATCTATGAATTCAAAATATTTTTCTATGTTATACCTTTAGAACAAATTCACTAGAATCAAAAGTATCATCACTGTAATAAATATTCTCCACAGAATTTAAAATTTCTTCTTCCACTGCAGGATCACAATTACTTTCTTGAATATCATCCTTAAAATTAAAGAAAATTATTATTAATAATCATATTAATTAATAAATATTTTTAAAAAAATAAAACTATATCTCGATTATAAGAATGTTCAATGAAAATTTCTTCCCAAAACTAAACTTTAAATGAATTAACACTCAAGATAATCTGATTTAACCAGAAAATCACATTAATTCTCAGCACAAATGTTTTCAATTTACACAGATCTGCTTCAAGTTCTGAATATTTGTTCTATAATGGAACACTCAAAAGATTGATGATAAACTACAAATTTAAATTTAAAATGTAAATACAAAAACCATTTGGACGTTAAAATAAGCATCAGAAAATTAAAATTACAGAAAAATATTGTAAAGCACTTGCCTAGTATAAAAGATGTAGTTTCTTCTTTAAAGATGTGGAGATTGTATTAATTTTAAAGAAGAAAAACACCTCGCTTTCTGCTGATATATATAGATCAAAAGCATTTGTGATGAAAACTAATGTGATTTGCTGGATTAAATGAAATGTTAAAAATATTCAAGATAAAATAGAGAAAGAAGATTAATTATAATTTATACGAATAGTTATTAAAACAAAACCAACAATTTATTATCTGATTTTTATTTATTATATTATAATTTCTTTGTTTTTGATTAATACATAAATTCCTATAAATATCAATCCTTAACAGAATATGCCAATTAAAATGAAATTTGCATCTTATGTTGAAATTAACAACACCTAACTCAATAACATAAAAACCAGCAAAATTTTCACTCATTGTAATTGGATGAGAATGTTTGCTTGATACTTGTTCACTTGACACTTGAAAATGTTTGCTTGACAAGTGTCAAACATTTTCATCCAATTTCAATGGACATTTTTGGGCTAAAAACCTAAACATGAAAGTGGATGAAAATGTTTACTTGACAAGTGAGTAACAATTTTGCTGATTTTTATGTTATTAAGTTAGGTGTTCTTAGTATATTAACTAGCATTTAGCAGTTGTCCATTATTTTGAATTATTTCAAAATCCAATTTAAGCCTTTTTTTCATCTATTTTAAAATCAATTTTCTCCTTATAAATATTCATTATACAATTAAAAAATATATCTTTTCAAGATATCACATTTTCATTCCATCATTTAGAATGATTATTAATTAAACATATACAAAATACAGAAAGAATTTGTACTACTAATGCTTGAACATAACTATTATAAAAATCATTATCAGAGAGCATGAAATATTAAATGGATATCCATTTCCTAATATATTAATGTTAAAATTTTTAAATATGAAAGTAATTCAAAGTTCATAAATTTATATAAATTGTTGAGTTGTTAGTACTAATATCAATTTATCTGTTTAAATAATATATCATAGAAACTTCTAAATTATTATAAAATAGTCTAATATAAAATGTTTAAAACTTAATTCTAATTGTAATAATTATTAAATTTTTAATATTATAAATATTTTCAATGTAGTGGATGACCTGAAACCACAAGAAATGTAAAAGCACAGAAAATTTGCTATTCTTTCTTGTGGATATTCTAAGTAGAAAATATATTAATTAAAAAAATTAATTTTATGCAAAGTAATTGGCATAATTATCATCATATAAAATTTTGTCTACTATTAATAGATGTGTACAGATATATCAATTCCTATAAATATCAATCCTTTACAGAATACTCCAATTAAAATAAAATTTGCATCATATCTTGAAACTGTGTTTAATATGAAATATCATATTTTAAAAATTTTTTTAACTGATCAAAGACTTACTCTAATGAAGATATAAAAATTACTAAAATACAATAATTAAAATGTATTTTACTCAAATAAAAACCAAAAAGTAATTTACACTTATATTTTATTTTGTTATTTTTAAAATACCTGAAGTATTGATATTTAAGATGCAATAAAAAAATATTAATATTGGTTATATTTAATGGCAAATTTCAATACAGTAGACCCCCTGTAACATGGGTTCATATAGTTCGGATTCCTATATCACGGCGAAAAAATTGTGACAGTATTTATACAAACACGCTAAAAAAACTCGTATAATTCGGTAAAACATCATCGCCGACTTGTGTCACGACAGGATTGGTCGAATCTAGACCAATAGTGGATATGTACAAACCGTTTAGTTTAAACGAGCGGACCTACTAAAAACCATTTATTATTTAACGGCCATAAAAATTATATTTATATTAATGATGTCTCCANAATTTATCTGTTTAAATAATATATCATAGAAACTTCTAAATTATTATAAAATAGTCTAATATAAAATGTTTAAAACTTAATTCTAATTGTAATAATTATTAAATTTTTAATATTATAAATATTTTAACTTAATAAATTCACTAATCATCATAATGTTAAGTTGTAACAATATCTATATACCTTTTTAACTATAGTCTGCTGTGAAGATAAATCTTTTGTCGAAATTCCTTCTGTAATTGCTGGAGGAAATTGCGTACCCTAAAATAACAAAAGAATTTCATTACAAAGAAACAAATTCATCATTTTTTTATAGAAACAAGAAATGCATTTAAATTATTTTCTTAATTTTTCTTTATATTATTAATTACTAGCAGACCCTGCCACATGTTGTTGTGGCTCAAAATGTATCTATTATAAATGTATAACACTTCCCCCGTGGGGGAAACTTTTTCGAAAAATTTCTTCTTAGTGTACATTCTCTTGACGTACCCTATTAAAACGCAATCAAAAACCCACATCTAAAATAGTATAATAGAAGCCAAGTTCTTCACGGTAAGCCTTAATCCTGTCTTTCTCCCCACGGGGAGAATATCGAAAAATCCCATCTTAGTGTACATTCTGTTGACGTACCCTATTAAAACGCAATCAAAAATGTAAAAAACCGCATCTAAAATAGTATAATAGCAGCCAAGTTCTTTACGTTAAGCCTTAATCCTAACCATCTCCCTTCAGTGGGGGAATTTCAACACGTATATTATATAAAAACACGTGCATATTCAAATGCAGCATTGTGTCAAAATTTCAAAGGAATCAGTAGGAACAAACGAACATTACATTTTTATTTATATAGATAGATAGATGATGATCTGCTTTAGTTCATTTTCACAGAAAAGCGTAATGCCTCACAGAAAAGCAAACTTAGGGTGTTGTACTCGGAACGCCATCTGTTGGGCATAAAAGCCTTAACCTAGATTACATAAAAGACATAACCTAGATTATATGTTTTAATTTATATGAATGTTTAACGGAATAATATATAGCCTATGTCCACCCTGAAGTTTCATTCTAAATATTGGTGAAAGAATTTTTGAAATCAGATGAGTAGTTTCGAAGATTACCCGCTACATCCAAACTTACTTACAAACATTACCTCTTTATAATATTAGTATAGATAATTAAAGCAAATTAATGAAAAGTACAGTGCAATTGTGATTTACAAAGATACTATATTCCTGCAGCATGTACTGTACATAAATAAATATTCACATAAATTATGACCAATTATGCCAGTGAATGTATCTATTAAAATTGATAGATGCAGTTCTGCAAATGTTTTAGTAGTCCCAAAATAAAAATTTTTTAAGTTTTTTTATGCAGATAATTAAAATTGACAAAGAAACTTAAATTTTCCTGTAGTTCAATAATGCTAGTTTTCAAAAAGTAGTAGAAAAACTTCTTTCCTTTTGCTGGAATGTTATCAAAATTATTTATTGTTCTTTAAAAGTATTATAGTGGACTGAAAACTTTGAAAGCATCATCAACTGACATTGTTTGAGATATCTGAGGTTCAAATTTTATTTTTCTCTAAGCTTGTTTTGACATTTTTCTTAGCTGATGGTCAACAATTATGACCTGTCAACAAACCTGGACAACAATTACGACCTGTGACCAATAAAGATCTCTAACATTTTTATTAGAAGAATGGATTCATCACTCATTAAACTGCCACATTAATGCATATACAGTCTTCGATTCATGCACACTTCTCTCCAAACTTTCAAATATTAATTTAAATGGGAACGAACATCTTGCATTGTTCAATTTCATATCCTTGTTCCCTCCATTCATTTAGAATCATGTTTTTGTGCTTTAAGAGATTTCTTTCTCAGCACTACCCTTAATGCTCAGACTTTGCATTCCCCGATATTAGAGCTTGCGCACCNACTATATATATATATATATATATATATATATATGAGAAAAATTGCCCTAAAAAGCTGGCAAGGGCTCTTGATTGACTTTCCCAGCACTTGATCAGGAGATTAAGGGGATCAGGAAGTAAGTATAATAATTTCAATTATACTACAATATAAGACTTAAATAATAAAAGCTTAAAAGGAGTAATTTTGTCAAATTATGATAAATTTCTCAATTTATAAAAAAAGAAATATTTAAGTTTAAGAATACTAAGACTCAAACTATTCAGCTGAAGATTAAAGTTTTGGGGGACACCATGTTATGAGTTTTCATTATAAATAATTTTTATTATTAATTATTGGAAAAAGACAAAAGGCTTAATTTTGAGGGGAGAGATGAGTTTTTACAAATATTTTAAATGCCAAATGAATAAAATTTTCATTAAGTCTGACCTCATTCAAGGTATTACAGCATATAACCCCCTTCTATTAACCTCCGTCTAACCACTGAAAATTTAATAGCTTTAATGCTCCATATATAGAAATAACCTTGCCAAGTTTCAAAATTTTTGGTTCATCTAATTGTGAGATATAATTATGGTAACTATATTACTATATTTTTTTGGAGAAAATAAAGGATAAATCAGAAATGATTTCATAATAAAAAAAAAGCAGGCTTCATTTATTTGTTTCACAAAAACTAAAAAGCTATATTAACATTTATTATAAAATATAAGTGTATAGTGTATATATATGTATAAAAAGTAAATATTACCATTATTTAAAATGCTATATATATATAGCATTTTAAATAATCATAATTCATAATATTTACCTTTTAAAATATTTAATTTTAATAAACTTTGCAAGAATAAACCTTTTAATAAATCACGTTTACTTTAAAAATTCATAAAGCTGTGGCTCAAAATGTATCTATTATAAATGTATAACACTCTCTTGACATACACTATTAAAATGCAATCAAAAATTCAAAAAACAACATCTAAATAGAATAATAGAAGACCAGTTCTTCACAGTAAGCCTTAATTTTGTCCCTCTCCTCCGCAGGGGGAATTTCAACATCTATATAATATAAAAACATGCGTGTATTTGAATGCAATGTTGTCAAAATTTCAAAGCAACCGGTTAAGAACTTTCAGAGATTTAAGATTTTGAACAAACAAACATTTACATTTTTATTTAATATAGATTTATGTCAAAGTTGCATTTGGTATATCTGCATTCAAATAGTATCAGGGATGGTTCAATAAAATGCAAGATTTGAACTTATTCATCAAAACTTATTTCATCCCCTTCAAAGTAATCCCCTCCCACTGCAATGTACTTCTGTCAATGTTTTTTCCAATCCTCAAAACATACTTTAAAGTTTTTTCATGAAATTCCTTTAGAACTTGCAGTAAATTTTGTTTGATGGCATCAATCAACTCAAAACAGTGACCACAAAGTGAAAATTTTAGTTGAGAAAACAGGAAAAAGTCACAAGGTGCCATATCAGGTGAATATGAAGCTTGCAAAACCATATTTGTTAAATTTTTGGTCAAAAATTCACAAACAAGAGCATTGTGAGCAGTGCATTATCATGATGCAAAATCCACAAGTTTTCTCTCCACAAATCAGGTTGTTTTCTACAAACTGCTTTACACAAACGACACAAAATGTTCAAATATTATTCTTTGTTTGGCCAGCCAGAAAGAATCTGTGAAGCACAACACCACAACAATCAAAGAAAACAGTGAACATGGCCTTGATTTTTGACTGACTTTGACATGGTCTTTTCAGTCTTGTTTCACCTTTCAAGCACCATACACTTGATTGTTAAGCTGTTTTGGTGTCAAAAGCATAAATCCGTTTCATCATCTGCAATGATGCATTTTAAGAATGATTCGCCTCAAGAAAGCATTTCCTCAATCACTCAAATGGATTATTTTTGGAAAAAATTCAATGTTTTTAGGATGACTCAAGAAGTGATACACTGCAAGCCCAAATAATCTTTTAAAATTGTTTGACAAGATCCAAATTATACTGGAACATGTTCAATAATGTCAATTAAACTTCACTTCTAATACTGGAGGTAATATAATTCTCTCCACCTGAATAAAGGTTTTTATTCAGGTGGAAAGAATTCAATAATGTCTCTAATTGTCAAACTAACTGACACCTAAATGTGAATTCCAGCACATAATAAACAAAGAAATTTTAATGTTCAAATGTTTTTGGCCATCTTTTAGATGCCCTCATCATTAATAAATGCACAAAAAAATACAAAAACAGTTCTATCTTTTGAAAGTTTCTAACTTTCGAATCTCACCACATTCCAATTTTTAAACATTTAAACAATGTCTGATACATTCTCTGTTGGAATGAGGCTACTCTTATACATAGGGTTTTTGACCAGCATGACTTACATTTGTTAGAGGATTAGAAAGTTGTATAGCGGGCATGAAGGGAGATTGCATTAACTCCAACTATCTTACAGTACTGCAATCATGGAAGTATTGTTTAGATTGCCATAGATTATAATAATAATAATAATAATTTTATTGGTAATTATTTATTTAATTTATGTGATGTAAAGGAAACAATTTCTGTATCAAACATCATTAAATGTTTAAAAATTGGAATGCAGCAAGGTTCGAAAGTTAGAAATTTTCAAAGAATAGAACTGTTTTTGTATTTTTTTGTGCATTCATTCCTGATGAGGGCCTCTAAAAGATGGCCAAAAATATTTGAACATTAAAATTTCTTTGTTTATTATGTGCTGGAATTTGCATTTAGGTGTCAGTTAGTTGATTATATAGTTCCAATTTATGTGTGTTATTTTTTTGTCCCTAATTGTTAAATGATGATCATTGAGCACTAGATTTGAGTGACAGATTGTTCATCAGTTGAAATAGATGGTCTACTAGGGTGTGGTTCATCTCCAACATGTTCTCTGCCTTCCTTGAACATCTTATACCACCCAAAAACTCTTGTTTTTGATAGACTATCATTACCAGAGACTTTTTGAAACATTTCTTTTTAGCAATAATTCCATTGCAAAAACAAAATTTAATGCACATTCTTTGATTAATTATACTTGACATTTTGAAATTGCCAGTGAAAAAATTCTTTACACACAACACAAGTGCTTATTTGTAAACAAAAACAGATGATGATGTATGGATTGCTGCTAGATATCAATGGAAATCACACCAAATGACAAAAAAATGATGACAGTGTCCTCTTGTACAGTACACCCATTGTTTAAATAAACCATTCCCAAAACTTTTTGATCACAGTAGTAAATGCATGTTTCCAATGTTTTGATTTTTAATTGGGTTT